GAACATTATTCTAGGTCCGTTCGAATCCCCGTGGTCACATATATATGTTAACCTGCGCCCTCCGGATACTTAATGGCGACCAAAGCGAGAAAAGTATCCAGCATCGAAAGCGAATAACCTCTGTTCGGACGTCTGGCCTGAAGGCTACCCGCCCCCCCGCCCCCTCTCCTCCCCCATATACGATGTTGAGGGGCGCACGCCCTTCCGTTTACCGGATATATAGTAGAGGCCTTCCGAGAGGGGCGAGGAGGCAGAATATCACACAAACAGGCACATATTTATGCTGGCCCCTGACCAACGTAGATAGATATAGCTCAAGGTGATACCGAACGCGAGATGAGTCCTCACGCGCATGTGGGCTCAGGTGTTTGGCACGCCTCAAGTTTGCGTCCCGATGTCCTCTTTGTACTCACATACACACAATGCGTGGGCTATACCATTAGGTTACCCCCTGGGGACACTTTGGCAGGGGGGGGGCGGGGGGCGGGGGTACAGGGCTCCTACCAATCACAAAGTCTGGGCCCGGAACTTGGTAAGGTGTTGTTGTGTCGGTGACGTCTAGGGCCTTCACCTTGTACATGCCCGACACCCTGTCCGGTATTCTCGGTGATGCCCTGACAGGGTCAAGTGCCGAACAAGGTGAACACGGGAACCCTGGCAAGGTGCTAGGCCTTGACGGGGTTTCCCCTCATGAATCTGCCACTACCCCATCATCCTTTACCGGGCATCTTGTGGGACCTTCCCAGGGTGACGGTTGATACAAGGTAACGTGTTCAGCCTTGGTAAGGTGATTGTATAGTACAGGGTTGGAAATGGGGACATTGGGCTATGTATCCATCCTAACCCTATACGGTGTTGAGGGGCGTCGTCCTGCCATTCAATGTTGGGAACCGAATCAAGAAAGGATAGCATATGCGCCTTCCAAGAGGCGAAGATGCAGCACATCACACCTTTAAAGCTATCTCCACTCACTTGGGTTGATTCATATAGACTTTATCTCTAATACATCGGAACCCCGAACTGTGTTTCTATCAGAACGAAGAAGAGCACAACAACAAGCTTTTCGAAAATATGAGCGTCGCGAGCCCTTTTCTACAAAACCTCGCGGTCGACACGCCGACGACGAACATTGCTCTGGCATCGACGAAATACCTTCGTTACATACGTCTGAAGTTCTTCGCGGCCTCGTGTGTGTTGTGTGTCGCCCACCGTCAAATGTATTCGCATGAAAAAAAAATGAGCACTTCCCCCTGGTCCTGATGCTGTATTGCGCATTTCTACTAGATTCTCGTCCCACGCCCGTGACACCGAACCTTAGGTCCAGGAAACGACATGCATCCAGCACGTGCGAAGAGGGCTGGCTGGCGTTTGCCAGAGGAGTATATAGCACCGGTGGCGGGGACGGCGCAACCGGCGAGAAGCACACAGTGCGGGGGGAGTTTAACACAGAGGCAACGGGGTGCGGCGAGGTTACCGAAGTGGACATGATGTCTTATTCGCGACGTTGTTCGACAAAGTTTTTGAAAGGGGCACGTGTCGATAGAAGCATAATGTAGTGGGGCGCCTACCGGGAGCTACTGTATGTACCTGTACAGCTCAAACTGACCGGAATAGAGTACAACGTGCCGTCGTCAGACGCAAAGGTGGGTTATTGATAAATGTGTGGTCGATCTCACCTTGAGTCAGACGAACGAGTCTTGGAATATGCTGTGATGGTTCTCATTCAAAAGTTACTTGTCATACTCGGCCGAGCCCGGGTCAGACAACTTGTATGTGTGCTTCTACACTTGGCCACCACCTGCCGATGACGGGGCAATGCAGCATGTCCGCTTCGACGAGGTCCGCAGTACCTTGCCCTGCTCGTCGACATCTTCGCCCCGGGCGTTGACTGCTACAGGACACAAGTGGTAGAGGTGTACGTGTCGCCTGATAGCTGACACAGCCCAGACCGATGGACGCCCCCTTCCTCTTAGCAACATCGTTGGATGCTGTGTCACCCCGTCCGGTTGGCGTCTATTTCCAGGGCCAGCCGACACATACTCGAACCCTAAAACAAACTCCGTCGTCGGGCGGTTGCTTCCTTGGATGCGTTGGTTTCCAACATGTTGGAAGAAGCAGACTATCTTGGCCATAGTAAGAGTGTCTACGCTGGGGTCGTCGTCGTACGGGGGCTTCCCCTTGTGGATCTCCACATCCTCGCCAGACCCCGCCCCGACAACCCACTCGTCCGGTGGGTTGGATGAATATGCTGCTCGCGCGTTCCCTCCTTTCCAACGCCCGCTGCCGCTGCTGCTCTTCGCGGAGGCGGTGTGATTAAACCTAGAGCATGAGACTTTTTTGTTTTCCAGCGTTGGTGGGTTTCTCCAGCAGTAGGGACAGCGCACGTCCATGCAAGGCTCTGGTCGAGAACACCGCCCGCATCCATAAACGTTTCGGTACGCCTTGACCACCTCTACCATGCTTGGACGAAAGTGTCCCGCTGAGACGACCTCCCGCCAAGACCCTGCGTTAGTGGTTGGTTGTCCCGCCTCATCGAAAAGAGTTGCATCCCACAGTGCGGAACCCTGGTGGGAGCCTTCCAACTGCACTCGAGTTGGCTCCGATGCAGCCGAAAGGTCGCTCGGGTCCCCTAGTCCTCCCGGAAGTCCTCCCGGCAAGTCTTTCATCAGCTGCTGTACGACTCGGACACAGTCGACTCCGGGGCGAACGGTAACCTCCTCTCTAACTTTTGTCGAGCGGTTGTACTTCATCACAGAGTACGGTAAGCCGTTCGCCAGGGCATGCCACGCGCACATGGTATTCATGTGGCGCATATAGTGCGCTGGGACGTCTCTCCCGCTGCTGGATTTGTTCGCCCTCTTGTGTTTCTGGTGGGCGAATTCCCCGCTAGAGGCGTTGGGCATGTGTCCTGACGCGTCAGCAAAAGGAGGAGGAGGCCATTGGGTCTAGAAATTGAATGCAGTTGTTGACGCGGCCGGGTCAAAGGTGCAAGAGGTGCGGAGTGTCATTAGGAGGGATGTTCGCATAGAATATAGTTGCACATAGGCTAAGTTTTCGCCTCGCGGCAACAGAGAACATCCCACAAACTCACCGTGGTTCTTCACGGCTTCCGAATAGTGTAGGGTACTGTGCATTGAAGGCCTCACGCCGTCCTTCCCGATAACTTCCTTCGCCACATGCACCTATACTTGTGTATGCAAGTATTATCCGTACAACACATCGAAATATGGGGGGGGGCGTCATGCTCAATATAAAGGTGCCACACTGTGCGCCATTCGATACAATGTGAAACCTCGAGGAAGGAGGTATTCGAGTTGTGCATACTATTAAGTATGGGTGGGCACATTGGGCAGCAAAATAGTTTTTGTGAGATGTTTAAATTACGAAAAAAATTCAGTCATATTTCGACGAGGGCATGGCGAGACTTGACCCAAAAATACGGACCATTTCGTCTTGTCTCACCATGTCTTGCGCATGCTTGTGGAGCTGTTGCAGTTCCTCGTCGTTGTGGGAGGGTGCTCGCACCGCAAACGACAAGGCAGATGCGGATTGCACGAGCTTGAGTAAATCCTCCCACGCACCCGTCTGATTTCCCCAATTTGATTCCAGAGTCTTGACTAAGTCCTGCTTGAAGTATTTCACCTGTTGCGGACGGGCAGAGAGAGAGAGAGAGACAGAGAGACAGAGAGAGAGAGGGAGAGCGAGTAGAGAGAGGGAGATGAGACTGATTTTGATCCATCTTTTTACGTGGAATACAAGAGCTTCCGCGGTGGCGTAGCAGACTTGTCTGTTTTTAAAGTATAGGCCGGGAGTGCAATGTAAAAGGGCGACCACATCGCACGGGTTTTGCCTTCATCATATAAGGTCTTCTGTACAGCTTTCATCATCTCAGGTCTTCTGCACACACGGCCAGTCTCTCACCATGGACCACGAGCTTTGAAGCACCTGTCGGAAGACGAGTAGCATGATGGGGGACAGCAGCCACTTATTACTGCCCGTCAAGGAAGAGTAGTTAGTGACGATGTCCTTCAGTGGCTTCTCGCGTGGTGGGTACAAAGCGTGGCCGTGCTCCCTGATGATGGCCGACACGAGTTTCCGGCCAACCGGATTCAATCTCGTGAGGATGAAACTCTGAACGAGGGACTGGACGTTCTAGGGTGCGCAATTAGAGAAAACACACGGTAAAGAGAACAGAGGGTGCGCATATGTCAAAGAAATTATGTGATGAGAAATAGTCTATAGGGATACGCACAGTGGGGCTTGCGTATAACCCATGAAGTACTGTGAATGTACCAGGTACTCTGTAGCCCCGCCATTCATAATCTAATACACTCTCTGCGTCTCCACGACAGTGCACAAACACGACCCCTGACGGCTTTTTATGTCGGCGGCGACGCCTTATTATGCTATGGTAGGGGTTAGCCCGGTTGTATGGTATCGCCCGCGGGTACAACAGTAAATAAATACTCTATGTACAAATCGTTTCAATTTACCAGCGCATCCGCATGCAGGCTTTCGACTGGGGTTGCCTTGAGTGCATCGAGCTTGACGATGTCGTGTAACGGCCATATTTCTTGTTCCGCTACTGGTGCCACGACGCCGAGTGTCCTTGAGAGGCTCGTTTGGGCCGTTGGCGTGGACGCCAACTCAGCCAGACGAAGTCTCCCCATCAAAATCTGGCCTCTCGTTCTTCGATTTGATTCTATGTCATACTTAGCTGACCCCAAATCTCCGCGGTCGTCTCCGAATTGCTCCACAAGGCAGTAAGGGCACGGGTGCAGGGTTGTTGTTGTTGTTGTTGTTGTTGTTTTTCTTCACATTAAACTCGTGTCAGTTGCTAATCCCAAAATCTAGCAAAGACTCGGCCCGTGGTCACAAAAATGCTAAAGCCATCAGAAGATCTGAAGAACACGCACACTATTAGCAAGAAAAGGGTACACAAGCCCGAGGAGGTACACCTACAATCCCTGCAGCACGTTTGCGTGCTCACAACTGAACTACACGCCCACACACTACAATTCGACTACAGCAGGCGGCATCACCCCCCTTCCTTGTCCCGCACTTCACCAAAATGAATGTTTGTCGACTACAGCGTACTGCTGTCTGAAGTGCTGTCTGTACAAAATAACACCATGGTGTATGGTGCACAGCAAGCTCGGGGCATGCAGCTGCTGTCTGAAGTGCTGTCAGAATGGTCCCGTGGACATACAATGAAGAAGAACAACCAACCAAAGCCATCATTGCAATTGACAATCGCCCGAATCTATCCAGATCATCTGTGTTAGACACAGCAGTGTAAACATCGGCACTGACTAGGAATCGTTCCACATTGAAGGGGTCTTCCACGATGCAGGTACACAATTAAGGCACCCGGGTTATCCGCGCAATCTCTGCCGCGTCTCTCTACAAAACCAGTGACGACGACGTCATTACACACACCTAACACCTATATTCAGGAAACAAAACGGAAAATAATTGCCAACACAGGAGATGTTTGTCCGTGCGACACGGTTCGATGCCGTCCGCATGCTCCGGTTCCGCTGCTGCTCCGGTGCCGCTGCTCCGGTGCCGCTTCTCCGGTGTCGCTGTGGCCAGTCCTAGCACGACCAAATTCGACCCGCTCCGCTTCGTACACGCTCTCGTTGCTGTCCTTCCCAGTCGGTTCCTCGCTTTCTCCCTCGTTGCACTTAGGGTTCTTGGTCTGAAAATTCTCGCGCCGAAGGGTCAACCAGCCCAGTCAGCTCGTCACCACCTGTCCCCTCCTCATTTGATGGCAAAACCAGGTTACTGAGACAGTACAGCTCCCTCTAGCAAGCATAGGGCCGTGTACATAGTGCCCGTCCACCTTTCTGATGGCGTCTGCCTCCGCGCACAAAGATGAGATGGGCATTGCTGCCTGCACCGACGGCCTCGAGGCCCGCGCATCTGCACCTTTGTACCTGACGCACCAGTGCCGACCCAACTCCACCACTACGCACGCCTTGCGGCGAGTGCGCCGTAGCAAGAAGGTATCGGTCCCTTGAGGATGAGTCTAGCCCTGCTCGCTAGAAAGACCCCCCCCCTCGCTTTGGGTCATGCCTAAGCAAAACCTTGCCGAGGCAGCGAGGGGAAGAAGGGAGGGTGGAAGATGTGGGATGCTTGCAGTATAGAATGAGCGCTCGTTGGGGCGAGTCTGCCACAATCAGCAACATCCCGCATCGGACAAACACCTGCTTAAGATATAGACACACAGAGAACAGAGAGGATATAAATTTATCTATCTAGAATTCCGCCGTACTTTTACACAACGCCAAACACGGCAGCAGTAGGCCATCGATTGTGGTGCTCTAGTGGAAATTTGCATATATGAAGAGTAATACGATATACACGCACCTCCACTTCCTTCCACCTTCCATCCCGATCCTGTACGAAAGCTCTGGCGATGCACCCCTTTTCAAGCTCATGCAAAACCTTTAATTGCAGAAGCATCTCCCCCTCGCTCGACGCCCCTGGAGAAGCGACTGTGGCAAGGTGTATCTCTTGCTTTTTTCTCTGCAAAGCTAAGCTGTTCCACGCCCAGCTCAGGTACGACCCTCCCACCGATTTCTTGTTTCCGAGCCCATGTGCATTGAATCCGTCAATGTGGTAGTTGACTGGCACGCTCACGAACGGCCTGTTTGCGACGTTGTGAGAGTAATCGTCTCCGCGGATGGTGAAAAGCGGTTCATCCAGAGTGCCCTCCAGCTTCCATGGCTCTGATCGTTTGTATTGCGGCGATGCCAATGATGCTGCGCCACCGGGTTTGTTTCGCTTCCGGTTTCCACCTCGATGCTTGTAGCGAATAACAAACGCTACACCAACAGCAGCCAGCGGTTGTATGTCGCCCACACGCTCCCCTTCTTTCCAGTCGGGGATTTTGCCTTGGCGATTCGTCACCTCGGCTTCCGGGTATATTTCGCACAAGTCTTGGATGTCGGTGGTCCCCACCTCCTCGGTAATGGACTTGTCTGTGCCTTGTGGCTCCCACACTCTCAGGAATTGCACGCCGTAGGCTGTCAAAATCGCCCCACCACCGTCTTGCTCCCCCGCGACATCGATAGCAGGTATGAACGGGCGCACTGACGCTAACATTTTCCCCTTTTCAGCATCCCAAAAAATCCCCAACACTCGGCAAATCCTGTTTGTCGTTGTCACATTATTACCATCATCTTGAGGTTGGTGGGCTGCGACAATTGCGTCGTCGTTTACGTGAACTGTCCTCCCTCTCGATCTAGGCGGCCTAATACCGTCGTAGCCATAGTGGGGGGTTGATCTAGCTAGGATGCCGTGCATGTTTGCACGTCTTCTGTTGCCCACAGGCCTCTCTGGGCCACAAAATATGTGCTCAGAAGCCAGCCCGGATTGGATCGCCTCGTTTCTAGAAAGTTGCTTTCCTCCCGGGTTTTTTAAAAACGTCTTCATCGACGAGGAAGTTTCCAGCTGCCGTTTGATTATCAAGTTCGCCGGGGCATCGTACACAACTGAAGTGCTATCGTTGCCCCCGGCAGCGATGGCGGTGGGTGAGCATCGCACGTCTCTCTGGTACACTTCATACAAGTTCATACAGTTGCGCATCCTAGCAACGAAGTGTTCGGCTTGTACGCCGTCTAGGTCGTTTATGTCAAACCCGCCCCCTGTTTTGGAGTCTTTGAACGGAAGCATAAACAATAATCCGGCCAATGCCGCCCGTGACATCTGCTCCTTGGTGACTAACTCCATCAACAGCAAATGGGAGAGGGTCGGAAAGGGGTATGTCGTCGATTTCGCAGCCTTTGTGTTAAACCTAAGGTTTGGGGCCCCTCCTTCCATGAGGACTGCACCTTCCGCTTCACAAATGGGCTTGTGGACATTTCCTAGGCGCCGCATGTGACTGTCACCTTCAGGGACACCTTCAACGGAATCTTCACCGGCAGCATCACGAATTTTAGTTTCTTCGATACCGCCATCCCTAATATCCAATATAGAGTCACTATCGTCGCCAAAATCATTACCGTCTAACAACTTGTCAGCATTCGACCAGCCAATATCATCACCACTCCGGTCAGACCCTTCGCTGCTGCTGCAGGGGTAGTTTCTATCGCCTTCAACAAATTTGCAATTCATCAGAAGTCGTTCCTGCAAGCTGATTTCGTGGTCGTCCTTCGCACGACCCCGCATGGCAAAAGCAATGCTTTCTGCGTTTCGGATAATTTCCGCCGAGTTGCTGGCGGACGACGCCGCGCTACTACGTGCATCGGATGAAGCACCCGCCATACCTGTGTCGTGTGGGTTATATATCGCATTTGATGCTGAAATTACCGAACTTGAGGAAGCAGTATAGACTAATACTTTAGACGCAAAATGCATCTATAAGTAACACCCGATAAGCTGACGTGACTGTGTGTACATATTGCAGAGTAATCAATTAGCCGCTGTTCCGAATGGTGATAATAAACGTATCTACGGCACGCGTAGTGGGTAAGGCCGCGCGCACTAACCGTGGAGATTTTCCTGGAGACACTACACATATCCCCTGGACCGTTTAAGTATACTCCATTACTCAACAACGAGGGTGATGTGCCTAAAGGTGTAAGGTGTATTCACTAGGACAGAAGTATTTCGACGAAACAGCAGTTAAATGCCACCATGTTCGGCGCCGCCCCTCTCTGTGCAAAATGTATGTTGTGGACGAATAAAGCACGGAAAACTATCCCGGGTTAAAGTGGCATCATACATGTAACAAGGACACGTACGCACGATTCATCGATTAAGTGTTGCAGCGAGCCCCCATCATCCTGCATATATCACCATACCTTCAGCGGGTTCGTCAACATGACTTGGGGGAGCAGACGCTTTCGATGCCCAACCGGCACTACCACAGTCATGCTGGTATGTCGGCGGTACTGCTGTACGACCCCGCGCCTCCTGACATCGGACATGGCCGGGTTGAAATCTAGCTTGGTGTTGACGTAACGCCCGCGTGTCACGCGCTTCCGTTCCGCAGAAACAGGCAAATCTTCCTTGTTTTTTATGAGACGTCGCCCGCTCCGCCTCGCGCCCGGCCATTACTTATGTACACATATGTCAACTCTGTGTTGCCTGCTGCCTAGACAACGGTTTCACGCACATCGCACGGGCGCGGCGTAGGAAAGAATAAAGTCACAACGAAACGGAAAAAAGTAACGCCTTTTTTTTTTAAACCTTCTAATGGTTGAACCTGTCCCACGTCAGAAACCCTCACTCCCCGCCCACCACCCACACAGACGCGCGCCATGGCGTCAAGAGGGTCGGGTTCATCAACCCGTAGGGCTACCCCTGATGCCATAGAGGCGGGCTGGATCGCGAGGACAGGGGGGGGGTAACCCGCTTCTCCCGCTCCAAGTCTAAGGGAAAGGGGAAGAAGCATGCTTCGCCACCGCCGCAGGCTCAAGTAAGTTCGCGCGATACCGATGGGACCTGTCATGGGGTTAGTGCAGCTGCTGTTGAGGAGGCTCAGCGATATCTTGGTCCATTGTCGGATTTGATAGATTCACCAGTGAGCGGTTCCCACAGAGGCCGGCGCCTGCGCAAGCTCAGGTCCAAGATGGCCGTTGAAGACGAAGCATGCAACGTGCGTAAATGCGCGGCTACCGTTATTTTTTTTTTAGTTTTCGTACCATCATTACATGGCCTTGTCAAATAGCTGGACCGTCCCTATGGTGTCATGTACCCGCACCGATAGGTACGGCTGTCCTTTCTATTACAGTCGCGACCGCTCTTCCTTTTAGTCGTGAACTCCCTCTCTACGTGGCAGTTGAAAGGACAAAGTGTCGAGAGCATGACGCACGTATGCATGATGGCCTGCACATAATTTCCAAACACCAACCATCTACAAGCACAGCATTTGGAACTTACCTGCACCTGTGTCTGGTTCGCTCTGGACCCAATTTGATGCAGATGAACTGCAGAGGGGCATGTGTACTTTCCTACAGGCTGTTGCGGAGTTTGAGCTAGGTTCGGGGCTCTTGCCTTGATGGATGTGCTGGATGAGGAAACCTGTAGCTTTCACCAACGAGTGCTTTTTTCAAGGCAGCACAATATCTCGCGTTGTTGAATTTATTGTAAGTAGAGTATAATGGAATAATTAATAAAGACTACCCATTCGAGATATATTAGTTGCGCTAGAGCGAACAGCCAACAACTACAAGTACGCTTCCATATATGGGTACAACTTGTCCTCGAAGATTTCAGATGGCATACCGGCTAACCCCGAATCTCGAGTCCTCTCAACGTCCTCCCGTCATAGCCGCATTATGACGCAATACGTTGTGCCCAGCCACATCGCAAAACTTGCTCTAATTTTTTTTTGTCTGACCCGCCCTTGTCGGGTTGCTTGTGTCTTTGTCTGTCCCAGGCGGAGGAGCCCAATGTCGATGATGATGTTGAGGCGGACCTGTCTTCCGTCAGGAACGTCTCCGCAGGCTCGGATCCGTCGGCCAGAGCGTCGAAGAGTGTTGGTAGGCAGTCGACGGGGGCTGCCCCGCAGGGTTCGTCTTCGCAGACGGTACCTGCCCCGTCCACACGTCGCAAGTCCGCGCCCCCCGTTACCGGTGCTGGTAGCGGGAGCGGCGGCGGCAGCAGCAGTGCCGCGCCCGCAGCATCCTCCGCCGCAACATCTTCGCAGAGCACCTCACGCAGGACTTCTGGTACGTTTGGCGAGATCACACCCTCGCGCCCTGCTGCTGCCTCCGGCTTCGGTTCTGGTGCTGCCCCCGTCGCTGCTGATGCTGCCTCCGGCTCCGGTTCTTCTGATCGTGAGATCACGATAACGTCCGCCATGACCCCGGCTGAAGCCATGGCGCGCGTTATGGTGGTTCTCGGCGGAGCTGCGGCAGGCCCAATCTTCATCTACATGCTTCAGAAGCATATGGAGGAACACGTGAGTAAAATAGGTCTTCCCTGAGAAAATAATCACTTTTGTTGGACAGATATGTTTTCATTTTGGATGAACGAGTCATTTACAAACATTAACTTTGGGCATCCAGCACGTGTTCAACAATTGGGTCTTTCCCATAAAGTGGACGACGATAGAAGAAGGGGTTAACGTTATGGGTCTAACTCAACGTCTGTCCTCTTGCGTAGACACACCACTCTCATTGTTCCACTATATTTTCCATGACGTGGAGGCGTAGCCAGGACTCCTACATATACCTTGATGTGTATTGGAATCCTTCCAACCGTCACACACACATGGTCAATCGAGTACTTCCCGTCATGCAGCAATGGAAAGAGTTGCAGTTTTCATCCTTGACATGAGGCCGAGGGTCTTGGTCATGAAATATTGCGGCGTGCCGCACTCAACCTGTCGTCTGTTTGATGTTGTTGGATTCCTACAAAATGTATTCGTCACAGACGGCAATCCACACTCTCCCTCCTGCCCCGCTTGATGTCCCGCCCGCCGTTGTTTTTCCCACTACATCCGTCGCAGGTAAAACTGGTTTTCTCCCCACTTCTCGGCGGCAGCTCGTCGGTCGTTGCGGGTTCTCCGGGAAGTGCGACCCAGCCTGTCAGGCAGCCAGGAGGCTCAGTACGTGGCTTCACTGCTGCCATCTTCGTGGTGTGGAGGTTTGCACTCATCGGGCCCCAGCAGATGGACTACTGTACGGGGTATGGGCGGACGGACCCTGACACGAACGTATTCTGTAGGACGTCCTACATGTTCTGGGAGCCCACCGGTCTACGATACGAGCCCTTCATGAGTGAGTGTTGTGTTTTTTTTGGGTCATTCGAATAAGTTTTTGTGTGAACTGATTCACTCACAGGTAGAGCGATTCGTCAAAGTTGCCCTGACCGTAAGGTCTCTAGTCATCGCGGTGGTCGAATACAACGTTGTGCTTATGCTGCTGAAATATTAGATTTTGGCACATACACTACACAGCCCCGGAGTTCACGCCAATTGTAGTTTTTCGTAAGAGTCGGTCAATCGGCCTCCGTCCTTCGCTTTAGTTTGCCCGCGGAAACATATCGATTGCCGTTATCGGTCGGTGTTGCAGGCCCGCCCTCTTACGATGTGGCCACTCGGCTACCCCTGGGGACACCTTAGAAGGGGGGGGGGTCAACACTGTAGGCACCCTGTGATGGGGGGGGGGGGGGGGCACAGGGTTCATAGCGAAGGCAAGGTCCGGGCCTCGACCTTGTTAAGGTCTTGTGCCTTGGTGGGGTCTAAGGTCTCCACCTTGTACATGCTCAACACGCTTTTCGGTGTTGTTGTTGATGCCCTGACAGGGTAATGAAATTTAAGAGGTGAACATGTGGACACCTTACTGTTGCCTGACGTGTCCGTTCACTATCGTCCATTCGTTTTTGGACTGCTCAAAACCCAGAGGCATTCCGGCCAGCGCTTCAGTCGGCCCGGGCTCAGTGGCACAAGGGGGTCATGCTCGCCGTGGTGGAGTTCGTGCTCTCCCAGCTTCGGTTCGTCGCTAAAGATCCGTCCAGTGTCGGCAAGGACTCCCATGGTCTTCTGAGGCTCGTCGCCCGCGCTTTGATGCAGGATGATCCCGAGCAGCTCGCAAACAGCGAGGTTAGTATGTGGGTCGTGTGTCTTTCGTTGTGTTGGGGTTGACGACACACACTCCAATTTGCACTTTAGCCGCTATAGCGGCAGCAGTGTAAGTGACGGGATGATATCGACATTTCATGCCGTTCGTATGTCCTGAATGCCTCCACCTACGATGTTTTAGAGTTTGGTGCCAATAGTTTGCTGTTGCAAAATTAAGCGGTTTATGGTTCCCGGACGCGAACGAGTAGCCGTATGCGCAGGAAGGGGGTGCAATCACGAACGGATGGGCTGCCATCATCATGTACATCATCCATGTGGTGGTAAACTACACAATAATACCTCCATGAACCTACCCTTCGTCTTGTTTGTTTCCGCACACAGGAGATGATGGAGTGCGTCGACTCCATGATCGAGCTCCCTCTGGACGCCCATAGGTCGGGAGGCTGGGAATCCCTGGGCCCCTTTGACATCTGGGGGGGGAATGCGCCTCTGTTCATCGAGGATGTGAGAAAAATGAATGTGGCTGGTGTGGTCGCGCCCAATAATAATACGCCATTGACGTCCGTCCCCGTTTTATTTTTTTTATACACACTCTGTCATGATTAAATATTCTGCAGAACAAAAATGTATAGCGTGATAATCACGAGCAGCAAGGAGTATGGAGGTAGGTAAAGAGTTTGGTATTGTACATTGTTCTCCATGCGTCTCGGAAGCAAACTGCTGCTGTAGCCAAGGACCAAATTTTTCCGGTAGGTCGTCGATCGATTTTTCTTCACAATTCCAAGTCGAAGCGAGAGTGTTTGCCAGAATGTTGCCGGCCATGATTCCGAATTGTATAACGCCGTTACGTTCTCGTTTGTAAGTCGCTTTGAGGATGGGGGATGTGGGTGTTGGTGGAAGACACACCACCCGGCCGTGTGGTGTGTACAGCAAGCTCTCTGCACAAAAAAACACTTATTAAAGTAGCTGCGGACAGGCGCGAACATTAAGAGTCGCGAGCCCAAATATTCTTGAGAGCTAGCTCTGCGAGAAACGCCCGGCGGCTGTGTTTGGCGTCGAGTACTAAAGATTCACGGGGTAAAAACTACATACATACCTTGATATTTTACAAGCCCTCGTTACGCCTCTAATTCGTGCCTACGTCGGCTTATTTCTATTTGTACTGAACACCAGGTTGCCTTACCCCTTCTGGAGCTTGCAATCCAACAAATGAAAGTGCTGCCGGATGACGACGACACCACGGACGCTTTTTCCAAGGCCAGGTCGCGGGTAAACCGCTGGGCCCTTTTGGAGAGGGGGGGATCTCCCAACCAGGTTTTTCAGAAGGAGTGAGTACGAGACATACCCTAAATATCCCTATGTACACAAAAAAAGTAGGGTATAGCACACACACCCTCATCATTTGGTACTCTGCAGCACGACAAGGGAAACATGTGGTCGGGCATTATTTTTGTTGTTCCATTTTTCGGATCTTACCAAGTCATATTATGCGCAAGTCATATTATGCGAAAGGCTAGTTATTTTCTGCGAGATGAATCGCTCCCCTGAGCGGCTTGTGTTATTTAATGCATGTAGACGACTACGCTACTCTCGCGAGATTTGTTCTAGGCTATACCACACACCCCGTAGGCGTATATACTGCAAAACATGCACACTACAACCAGACGTGTCTTCCGCCGTCCCCTCGCCTTTTAAACACGACAGGTTGTTCCGGAGCGCCTTCTTGTGGGCGACTGGGGATAACCAGACGCTCAAGCCCTGCCTGGGTCTAGACGCGAAGTCACTGAAGCAGGCCGACCTCAAGCAGTACGCGTGTCCTTACCTGTCGAAGCGGAGTAAGTTTCGAGATGCCAATGTTGTCCTTTGTGTTCATCATGTATAGGCCTGGGAGCAACATAGTAGTCGCCTCTGTTCGCCGCCACATGTCTTCGTCCTATGTTTGCCAACCTTGCCCTTTCGAATCTTGTGTACACCCCGTGCATGTTCGTTCGGGGTGCTAGATTCGCAAGCTAGCGAAATATCTCGCGCCGGTTTTGTAGTCCCAAAAGTGGAATCTGTAGGTTTAGCTTCGGGTTGTTGGTCCCAGTCGCTTAATAAATCCGCATGCATGAGCACTATGTACCACCTTGGATTGCCCGTAAGACAACCTGCAGTCACTCCTTCCCCAGTGGTTTTCCGTTCCGTGTTGCCTCGTGGCGCCTTCGTCCATTTTTTCCAGCACGTAGTTTTCGTATAACTGCGTCGCGATCCTAAAACTTCGATAAGCTGCACATGTGCCCGCTTCGAATGATTGATTGCTGTTCCATGGCGTGTCATTTGTCGTCATCTTACATCCTTCACTTTCACATGCGTCACCCGATGTTGTGGCAGCCCCTCGCAAGGACGACGACGTTGGAGATATCGCGAACGAGGACTCCGATGACGAGGTCCCGGAGACCCTCGCCCCTGGCGTTGGCGGTGACGTGGACAGCGAGACCGATGATGGCGTGGACGCGGACGGCGACGACGTGGACGCAATGGCCGTCGACGCCGTCTAGACCTGATCTCCCCTTTATTGGCGGCATATTCAGGCGCAAGGGTTGATTTCCGGTCTCGTTTTCTTGTGATACACGGTGTTTCCGATGCGGATTGCTACAGTGGGTTGTGCCGCGAAGAGAGTACAAAGAATACTATTTGTGGCTGGGGTGTTATCGCCAATTTCCCGTCTGTGACTGATGGATTTTGAGAGGAGAATAATGATGGAAGAGCGACCGACACATGCTCGAGCGTCGTGTCCAAATTTGTTTTTGTACCGGTCGGTGTGATCGTCTTTGGAAACCGGCAAATTCTTGTGTCCTGCGTTATCGTATAAGGTCGTGCGCAACAACTCATGCGAAGCCATCAACTGAGACAGTGCTGCCGATGGTACATAGGTGTGTCTGGAATTATGAAAGAAGTATGTAACGTAGCGAGTTATTCCGGATCATGGTTGGATATTTGTTGACGTACACCCTGTTTATTCCTTGGCGTGCTTCGTCGGTTGTAGAGCATTGCATTGATCGATGATGGGTTTGTTCAGGCACAGTGTGTTGTGTGTGGTTTCTTGTTTAGTAGAAAAGTCTGTGAAGACACAAACATGCAGACAGCAGAGAGAGAGACCCGGCGCTACCCCTGATGGTACTAGAATTGTAAGTTTGTAGTTCCGCCGTTTACTTTTAATCTTTGGTGAAATATATAGTGTGTACGTCACCCCTCTAAGCCCTGAGGGTGTGGCATATACATACCCACACCATCGCAGAATACATCCGATTTTTTAATGGATCATGGTTGGATATTTGTTGACGTGCACCCTGTTTATTCATAGGCGTGCTTCGTCGGTTGTAGAGCATTGCATTGATCGATGATGGGTTTGTTCAGGCACAGTGTGTTGTGTGTGGTTTCGTGTTTAGTAGAAAGTCTGTGAAGACACAAACATGCAGACAGCAGAGAGAGAGACCCGGCGCTACCCCTGATGGTACTAGAATTGTAAGTTTGTAGTTCCGCCGTTTACTTTTAATCTTTGGTGAAATATATAGTGTGTACGTCACCCCTCTAAGCCCTGAGGGTGTGGCATATACATACCTACACCATCGCAGAATACATCCGATTTTTTAATGGATCATGGTTGGATATTTGTTGACGTGCACCCTGTTTATTCACAGGAATACATCCGATTTTTTAATGGATCATGGTTGGATATTTGTTGACGTGCACCCTGGTTATTCACAGGCGTGCTTCGTCGGTTGTAGAGCATTGCATTGATCGATGATGGGTTTGTTCAGGCACAGCGTGTTGTGTGGTTTCGTGTTTCGTAGGAAGGTTTTGTCTGTGAAGACACAAACTTGCAGACAGCAGAGAGAGACCGCCCTGATGATACTAGAACTTTGGGTTTGTTGCATGTTCAGACATTGTTTCTCTGTTTGATTCAGAATATGTGGGGCAATGTTTGGTTGTGCCCATAGGAAAGTGTGTCGCAACTAGTGGTAGGCCTCATGAGATGACATATGTGACTAGTCGTCGTTTTTCGGCCGCACGCTCTGCGGTACAACTGTTAAAACGTTGTGAAACATCTTTTTGTTGTTCAGCGTCATGCTCGAATCCCTCGTAGGGCCGCCGGCCTATGCAGGCAATGTTGCGAACACCACACCTGGGCCAACGTCGCAATGTGGTTGTTGGCAAGGTTTGGACGTATGTAGTGATACAGCATGCCCCGAACCTAGCCGAAGGTCACCGTGCCCTACATTGGCAGGTCTGGGCCGTTCGTTCCTTTCCCAGTTTCACACCTTAGTGAGACAATCATGGCGCACGTTGGCAGGGTCGGCACGTAGGCCGTGC